TCGATTCTATCAAGCAAGTTTGCTTCATGCTTCTTCTTCTTTGGAAGTTTACATTCAGTGGACTTGTGACCTTTTTTGTCACAGTTGAAGCACTTCCCTTGGAATTTTTGCTTAGAGATTTTCCCTTTTGCCCCAAAATTTCGATTTGGCCTTTTGCCTTTGGAGTTTTGCTCTTGCTTATATTCCACAATATTTGCTTTAGCATCAAAAGAATTTATTGCCTTGCAATCAGAACCCCTGTTGTCTTCTTCACTTCGAAGTCTAACAATAAGGTCCTCCATACTCATCTCTTTGCGCTTGTGCTTGAGATAGTTCTTGAAATCCTTCCACCCAGGAGGTAGCTTTTCAATAACAGCAGCTACTTGAAAGGTTTCACTCAAAATCATGCCTTCAGCTAGAATTTCATGCAAGATAATCTGAATTTCTTGCACCTAACTGATAACAGTCTTGGAATCCACTATTTTATAGTCTAGAAATTTTCTGACGACAAATTTCTTTGCCCCGGCATCTTCGGTTTTTTATTTCCGATCCAAGGATTCCCACAATGCCTTCGCCGTCTTGTGTGCTTGATACACGTTATACAGCGAGTCATGCAAGCAGTTCATGACATAATTTCGACAAAGGAAATCGGAGTGCTTCCAAGCATCAACAGCACTGACAGCTTGTGCATTAGTTAAGCCTTCAGGCAGTTTTGGAGCATCCTCACTTAAGAATCTCGAGAGATTCAATGTTGTCAAATAGAACAACATCTTTTGTTGCCATGTCTTGAAGTTCAGGCCATGGAACTTCTCAAGTTTCTCACTATGGTTGGTAGAAACCATAGGAGTAATCATACCTTCAGGTCGTTTCACAATAGTGCCAGAGGCAGAGGCATCAGAAGTAGAATTGTTGGTTTCTCTTCCTGTATTGTCAGCCATTGAGAACAGAATCTGTTTTAAGACTGTTAGTGATAGAGGCTAGTACAATATAGGAAAGAATAAATACAAACTGGAAAGAAATAAATGATTGAAAATAACAATCCGAGGCTTGTGAGCACAATTTCCTTAAAACAGATTCGCCCCCTACAGGTTGAGTGCTTGAGGTTCAGTAGGCGTCTGTCTCCCAGGATACAAAGGTGAAAATGTTAGCACCAAACTTCTTCACCACAGCGAACTCGAACTAGAGCAATATGGAACACTATAAAAGATGAAGATGCAAGAAGGAAAAATAGAGAGAGCGATTGTTTTTTAAACAAAAAGAGAGTTATCTATTTATAGATGCTGGTCAAGGGTGATTGTAGACATTGGAAACAAATGTTAAATTCCACTTAGTTATCTTTTCACGTACATACATGTATTCTTGATAAGAAAGCTCCAAATTCATGTATCAATAATTAAGTACATGAATACTTAATTCCTAAGTACATGAATCCTTTCTCGAGAAGAAAACTCCAAATTCATGTATCAATAATTAAGTACATAAATACTTAATTTCTAAGTACATAAATCTTCAGGTACATGAATGATAGATAATTATCGTTGGATTCTATCAAGAGTGCTATTATGAGAACGATTTTCTCATTCACTCTACAATGGATTTTTCCATTTTTCCAACAAATTTTTCAATGCTTGATTACTTCACATATCAAAATTCTCACTTCACGAAAATACTTTTTACGAAAGTGCCCATCTTTCGTTAAAACAGTTTTTTTTTTTATTTCTGTTACGCAAAAACTTATATGAAGCTAACATCTAAATTGTGGAAGCTGCTTTTGTATCGCTTTTAAACATCCAATTGAGGTTCTTGACACTCTTGTAATTTTGATGTTCTATCCAATGTAACTTAACACAAGAAGATTCAGAAAAATGAGAACATGGCATTCTTTGATTCCAATTTTTTTTTCAAGAAATACTACAGAATCATTCAAATGAGATATCAAATTTAATGAGCAGAAATATTCAATACTTAATAAGCACAAACGATGCTTAATTGCACCCTTTGGCCGCTCCTTTTCCATAGTATAGTGTGGGGATCGAATCCTCCTCCGACTTGCATTAAATTCAAAAGGTGCTCAAATGTACTCTTTTGGCCATATTTTCCCCATAGTACATGATAAGGATTAGAAATAGATTAGCAAATATCATATTAACCAAAAAAAAAAGAGAAACTCCTTTGGGTCCACAGTCTCCAAAGTAGGAGTAGGAGTAGAATGCACATTTCTAATCATCGCTTCCTTATATCATGCAAGAGTGCATTAGCAAATATCATGTCAACCAAAAAAGAAAAGGGTGGGGAGGGGGGTGGGGGGTGGGGGAGGCGGGAACATAGACAACCATAACTCCTTGGAATCCATCCGTGCCAAAATGTAAGAGTAGGAGTAGATTAGCAAATAAGTATCGACAAAAATGGGAAAAAAAAGAAAGAAAGAAAAAGACATTCATCTGACCGTCACACAATGTCCAAACTTTTAAGACTATCCCCTTTTATTTTTTTTCTAGAATATTAAATTTTTAGAATCTGTAAGTTTCTAAACTATCCCTCCAATAAAAAGACATCTTCATCTGACCATCACACCACGTCTAAACGTGCATAGATTTTTTTTTTTTATCTTAGCAATGATAATTGTTCCACGTAGAACAATGGTCACACATATGGATATAGAGATAATTTCACATGTTAATTTTGTATAACTGATAGTATATACACTAACAATAATGGATGCATGCCACCTAAATGCAATATGAATTTGAACTCCACTTTTTACATAAGTAGTTTGCATTTGCGTTCATTAGTATAGATAAGATTAATCTGAATTTTATTGCAGTTCTTCAAGTTTGGAAGCATACAAGCTTTGAGACAAAATATGTGCCCAAATTAAAAAAAAATCTAATTTTATAGTGTTATATTACAAAATGAAATTTGAGGTACAACTTCAAGTACATACAAATGTTATAATTGTTTGAGATTTTTGTGAATTTCATTCGCAATTTACCATCTATATCACTGAAAAGGTTGAAATTTGTCTATTCTCCTTTAATTTGGTGGTGGTGTTTTGCCCCGTGGTGATTTATTGTGTTGTCTGTGACTTTTACCGTTACTGTGACTATGACACTAGCATTGTTCAAGTAGAGAACATTAAAACAACCGCCTGGCCTCGGCTATAAACCCCGCTTAATAACCTGTTTTAACTAACTTTCAAATTGTGTAAAGCTACCCAACTAATTAACAGCCAAATCAAGCTTCATGACACATTTTTGGTATTAGTTCGAAAATGAGCTAGATTTAGAGAGATTCTAAAGTTCAATTATGCCTAGCTTGCTCGAAAATCGCTATTTGTGCGTGTGTTGTCCCCACTTGGGCATTTTTGATAAATTCGTATTCTTTTTCTCAGTTTTAATTTAGAAAGCATAACTGTCCGGCATCAAAGCACAAATTTAATCAACACCAAGAAAATTCTTGACTGTCTGAATTTCTACTATATGGAGAAGAAAAGGTAGAGGACTAAAATGCATGGAGGACTAAAATATCCGAAAAGCTTTGTTCTGTGGGCAGGGATGTAGAGGCTTGTATATCTTCTTCTCTTTTTCTCTTTTTTGTAGCATTTTTGTGAGGCTGGACATTCAATCACCCACAAATCCATGAGTTTTGTGCATTAGATTCTTACAGGAGTTAGGGACCAGGTCATTGATCATTTCTGAGAAAAATATCGAAGGGATATTACTTAAGGGTGACTGTCAATTACATTTAGAGCTCATTGAAACAGGTTTCCTAATGTGGATATTATAAAAGGTGGAAAAGATTGCTAGGCCAACACTCATGGCAATGGTCGCTGCCTGATATAAACGCAACTAGTTGGAGTATCACCTCAGCTACCTAGGATGATGTGATCTATTTTCTGAACATGTAAAAGAAGACCTTATACAGAAGCTAAAATTCTACGAAAATCTCCTTTTCTTTGCCACAACGCAAGGTGTTAAGCAGATGCAGTTGATAGATGTACATTTGTCTGGTATTAAAGGTAAGTGCAACAAAGTTCAATTTGAATTTTCTCAACTTAAACAGAAGATTAAGCTTCTTGATCCCCAATTCCTTGTAGCTTCTGTTCTTGTCTCGAAAGCTTCAAAAGTGCTGTCAATATCATCAGTTCCTTCTACTCTGGAGGACGAAAAGCAAATAATGGCAGAGTTTGTTGATTCTGTGCTAGGAGGTCCTATGCCCCTATTACTAGGATGTTCTTGTATCACTTTCACGCTTCCTGTGCAGGATCAAATGGTAAAACTTCACGAGGGAGTGAGATTCGCGAGTATCCTTCTCACTGTGAACACTCATAATATATAATTATTTTCTAAAATGCTTTCCATGTTCTTTTTCTAGTTCATGCTTTATAGTAATTCTTTGTCATATATCATCTCAACTTCTGAAATCTACGCCTATAGTCTATGTTACCCGGACTTGGCTATCAAGTCCCTACCGGCATGGCTACTCTAGTGCAAAATGACAAGTCAAGTATGGGTAGAATAGAGCAAAATAGAGTCCGAGTAATATAGCTTGTAGTAAAATCTGAAGAGTGTGTAATAGTACGTCCCTTGAGTAGAGTCTAGAGGTGGAATTCTCTCCAATCTAGCCCGATTGGATCCTCCCCTAGTGCAAGTTAGAGTAGGAGCCGATTGACCCAAAAAAATTTACCCGAAAAAGCTGAGAATTTGGTTTTACATTAGTCTCTTCTTTTTGACAATAGTTCTGAGTTTTGGTTAATGTTAATTGCATCTGACATCTAGAAAGCAGAGATGGGAACCTGCTATGTCTTTGCAGGTATAAATATGCTCTACGCCAGAATCTTGTGCCTTTACCCGTCAAATATGAAGACCCTGATTCTCCAAATTTTATCGTATTGTAGTTTCTTCGATCAAATCGAGTAACGAAAGGAGCAGAATGCTATGTTGAGGATTCAAAGGCAAACAAAGTTAATCCACAAAATACTGGAAAATGCTTTAAGAACTTAGTAGTTGTCTTGCTGGATGATGCGAAAAGATCAAGGCTATAGCTTTCTCATTTGATGCCTAATTCTATAATTCGAGTTCAAGCATCCAATACAGCTAAACGATGTAAAGCTTTTCTGATGCTAAAAGATGTATTGACAAATTGCCATAACAGATTATATTTGGAAGTGGTGCTGGCTTCCAATATGCCACCATCATAATCAATACCTGATAGCAATCTGGAATCAGGAGTGAGGAGGAGCAGATACCATCATGGAGATCTGCTCCAGCAGTAAGAATTAGGCCAATTCAATAGAACATGATTCTATTGTTTTTTTCTTTCTGAAGTACAACATAGCTTTTCCACGAGGGAGTGCTCGAATGGTTCATTGTACATTTGTCGAATAAGTTGTTCCTTTGCAAGAATTAGAGCTACAAGCTAGCAGTAATATAGGCGCAAGACTCTTGCTGCTTCTCTTGTTGATTTATGGCATCCGCAACATGAGCAATGACTCCAGCCCCAGCATTATGAAACCATTCATTTTTCACCTGCGCCCAAATAACGGATTTACAGTGAAAAACAGCAGCTGGCAATCATGAATAATGATTTTCGAATAATGCACAGAAACCATTACATGAATGTTGTTATGAGCGAAGAAGGGCCAGAATGCCGAGTGAAAGCTGACATCAACTTTCTTCCACCCCAATTGTTGTAGTCCACGTATCATTTCCTCTGCGACAAAATAAACAATAATGTCATTTGGTCTGACGCTGTAGCGTGTCTTATAACTAACAGCAGCTGTTAACACTTTAGAGTACCTTCCACAATTTCATGATATTCCAATGTATTCTGCATGGTCGGTGCATTTTGAGCTGCCTCTTTTGCTTTAGCAGCTTCTGGAGGAAAATGGGGACTGCTGGACGAAACAGGTGGACAATATTCAACATCTACTACATGTTGGTAACCATCCAGCGAACGCTGAGGGGGCTGCCAGATTAAGTAGAAACCTCAGAGAGACGGAAGAACATAAACATGTAACAAATCATTTTATCATTCTTAAAAAGGTGGTCAACGCAGTCATGTTATTGCTTCTACATTTTTTGAAAAAAGACTTGCATTTAAAATATCGAACATAAACATGTAGAACGCTGTTGGTAAACATGGTTACATGTTGGTAACCATCCAGCGAACGCTGAGGGGGCTGCCAGATTAAGTAGAAACCTCAGAGAGACGGAAGAACATAAACATGTAACAAATCATTTTATCATTCTTAAAAAGGTGGTCAACGCAGTCATGTTATTGCTTCTACATTTTTTGAAAAAAGACTTGCATTTAAAATATCGAGCTGCTAATCAAGAATCTAGGCACAAAAATCTTGATCAGTTGCAGATTCACTATCCACGGAATGTTATAGTGCGAAACCCAGAACAAACAAGTGGAAAAGAAATTGGTGGATGCTACAAATTAACTATAAAGATAAGAAAAGCAATGAAGACACATAAGCAGGGTCTCTTTCTGTTTCAAATTACACCATAAAAATGCTCGACGGAATTGCAAAAATGAATCTAACAAGATTGTATTATTTGAAATACAAAGATAACATATGCAGATTCAAACGCCGTGTATATAGTCATTCCAATTCTGTAAGCAAACACCATCTTAATTCCAGCTTATCAATAAGGAGCTTAACAAATAAGTTGCACCCAAAGAAAAATAAAACGATGACAAGGAAGTGCAAAGCCTCAAAGTTTCACCATAAAGACTTAATAGCAGATAAGAAAAGCATGTTAATATTTGACAAAAAGGTTAATTTTCAGAGGATGATCTTAACGAGGAAACTCCATAGAAAGAAAGAAAGCAGATTTAATGTTCCCAAAGAGGCAACATTTTACCTCAGCAGATTCTCACAAAAAAGTAACTTCATATTGATGGGCTGAATTAACTTTAAAAATCATTTAATACAAGCTAACACCAAAGTGCTTTATTTTTTTTTTAATTTAGCGGAGGGAGAGTTGGTATTTAAGAAGCAGGGAGGGAGGCCCAGGACCACTAATTCCTCGTTCCTCGAGCCTTAACCTTAGCCACTAGACCAAGTCCTCCACAGCAACCAAAAAAGTACTTGATATTTGATGTACATGCATTATGTAAAGATAATATCATACATAAACAACTGTCTGCTCAGTAGTTAATGGTTTTGAGATTCTGATTAAGAAATTGAACAACTTAAACTGATCACCACCATTCTTCAGATTCTGATACACACCCCAAAAAAAAAAGGTCCCACCAAGATTTGAACTCGGGCCATTGGATTCAAAGTCCAATGTCCTAACCGCGAGACCATGGCACCATTTGCTAAGAGATGGGTCCACCATGGAATTACTTAGCTTTCTAAAGTTCATTTCACAATTATATTGTGCAAGAACTAAAAATGTAAAAGATCGCATCAAGATTAAACTCGACTATTGGAATCAGTGTCCAATGTCCTGGTAGCCAGACCATGGAACCTTCTCTTAAGATATGGGTTCCATCAACTGAACCCATATCCAACAACAGCAGTTTTTAGGCAAAAACTTGCAAACATCCTTGTTTACACCAACTTAGGAATAAAAAGGATAAAAGGTTCCACCGAGATTTGAACTTGGGCTATTGGATTCAGAGTCCAATGTCCTAACCCCTAGACCATGGAACCTTCTGTTGTGTTATACACCCTACTATCAATTCATTTTGACAACAGCAAGCATTCTCAAGTCCAATGAAGTGAAATTAGCTGTACTTTCTACATTAAACATCGCTAATATGTTCTGCAGGATACAAGGAACCAAAAAGGTAAAAGGTTCCATCAAGATTGGATTCAGAACCCAATGCACCAGACAAGGAACCAATCTGTACTATACAATCTCAGTAAGGTTAATATAGATGAAGCAATCTTAATGTCAAGAACTTAAAATTTACATCTCTTCCCAAACTAATCTATGAATTTATTCTACGGGAGAAAAGAGAGAGAAGGTTCCATCAAAATCTTTACTAGTCCATGACTCATCTGACAAATAACATTTCTATCAGTTTTCTTTACTGGACATTATTTTGCAGTCAACAACTTAGAATTTCTTAGGCATATGACTAGCAATTAGTTTATTCCAAAGACCAAAACAAAAAGGTCCCACCAAGATTCGAACTCGGGCTATTGGATTCAAAGTCCAATGTCCTAACCCCTAGACATGGAACCATTCTTGGGATAGAGTTCCATCAGTTATTAATTTATAGCAGTAGTTGGGATCCAAATATACGAGATTAATTGATCTTCCATGCTAAAAAAGTATATAAATGTTCCACTCGTAAAAGTACCACGAGTCGTGTACGTCACATAAGTTTCACGACTATCCCTACCAGAACATCAAAATTCCACAAACACGATGGTCCCAAAATTCATGCTTAGCATTCTTGCAATAAAAAAAACCTTTATGTTTGGCATGTATATTACAGCAGGATGGCAGACAAATTTCTCAATAGAAACTAAGATTCAAGGTGAAATCAGTACATGCAGACTTGTTATCAAAATTAGTCCCTAGACAAGGTATACATGCACAATGCACTTGACTTGTCACCATGGAAAAGGTCATCTACTTCTGTAATCTAAGCTATGTACTTGCAATTGTATTAATCTCTACTCGACTTATATAACCAACTAAATACCTAGAATCACTATATATCATGTCTAACTATACTAGCACTGCTGAGCAAAAATCTATTTCTTATCTTTTAAACCATGAAAATAATTAGATAAATCATTGAAAATAACTAATGCTTTAGATCCTTACGAAATGCTGCAATTATTTTTCATGGATAGACCATCAAGTATCAAAAGACTGCATAACATGTCTATACCTAGTTCAAGATATTGTCCTTTCAAATACATTAAAATGACAAAACAGGTAAACACTTCAAGTAGAAGACCCAAAAGCAAATGTTCCACCAGCATTTGAGCTCAGCTACTGCATTCTGTCTAGTAATAACAGCTGGACCACAGCACTAAAGAAAACTTCCAATCAACTTCTGTTAGTGAAAACAAATATCCAATTCAAATTCCTCAAGTTTATAGCAAGATAGCTGAATACCTACCCTATTGAGCCAACATAGAAAAGGCTCTACCAAAAGCTAAACTCAAGCTGCAGGATTAGTATCACATTGTAAAGTAGAAAGATTCATCTTTATGCTAACAAGCAGATCTCACAATATCGACCAAAAAACAGTTAAGGTGGTACCAAAATCTGAATTCAGGCTACTAGAGTCAAAGTTCGAGATCCCACTAACTAGGCCAGAGGACTTTCTCGAGAACTTCTATGGTACGTAACAACATCAATGCTTGAACTCACATCAGTTTCCAACCTAAACTAATAAAAATCACTCCCTCCGTCCCATTGAAATTGTCATGCTTTCCATTTTGGTCTGTCCCAAAATGTTCGTCATCGCCAAAAAATGGTTGTGAACTTTATCAATAATTTCCAATGTTTACCCCTGCCTCACCTAACTAAAAAGTAAGTATTATTGGGGCCAGAAAGTCTTACATCAATACTTGCACTTTGTTGTTCAGTTGATTGATATGCACGCACCAACCATTTTGAAATGATTGCCTTGTGTGCCTTCACGCTCTAATTCTAACTGGAGTAAGCCATGTGCCAACCAATACATATGTAGACCCAGCTGTCATGTTTTGTCCACCCATTGTCCACTTTTGTATTCAAACAAAGGGCAAAACGGAAAACGAAGATGAATTCTTCAAAAGTCTGGCACTATTGATAATAAGTTGGAGTCCCAAAAAGCGTCGAACTTTTCACAATTAAAAAAGGCAAGCTGTTTACGTGGCCAGTTTAACCAAGATCTGAACTCTACAATAAAATCAGGAAACTACTCTTTTAATGACTGCTGACATCAACTTTATCCTAAGGAACCAAAAAGAAAGGTTCCACCGAGATTTGAACTCGGGTTATTGGATTCAGAGTCCAATGTCCTAGCCACTAGACCATGGAACCAATTGACCATGCTTTTCGTCAAGATTGCATTAGTAAGAAGGGAAGAAAAGGCAGTTGTCTGCAGACAAAAACTTAATCAATTTGAGCTGAAGAGAAGCATTCCCTATTATTGTATTCACATGCCTTATTGGCATTTAAACTTTGATCAAATCATTAATGGCCAATCATTCCCAAAAGTATTCCATAACCATTAATTAGAACACTTACTAGTTGCCATTCAATTATGCCCCAAATGTTAATGAGCTCATCCATTCACACTTTATGCACACATCTTTATTAAATGTGTATCATGAGAGGAAGAGTACTCAGGAGTAAATCAGCAAATTACCTTCACAAGTTCTGTCTCCCTTCTGATTGAAGATGTACGCCAACCAACCATATCTAAATTATGCTAAGAAAATTTTCATCAGAAAACAGGAAAAAGTCATATCAGCTTGGTAGAAAATGTTAGATATGAAATATATGGCTGGATACGGTCATAAGAAACATTAGCATAGAGGACACGGCATCTGAAAGCACCAAGGGCAGATCTGCAAGAGAAAAGCAGCTTAGAAGCTTTAGAAAGGAGTTCCAACCAGAATGTACTTTCAAACATTATCTTTACTCACATAAATTTCCCATCCTCACAATCAGATGCCATTCGCAACAGCAAAGGAGGTTTGTTGGGCTTGCCATCAGTAAGGAAGAGCTGACTACCAGTTCGGCCAATGAAAATGGGGGCGAGTGGTGCAGCAATCTTCTCCAAGAAGGGGACTCCAAGAAGAAATGGAAGCTAAATCAGACAACAAAAACTGTCTGGAAGTCAGGTTCCAGATCAGAAGTCAATGTTCATAGATGAGAAAGTTGATCATGCTTTAACCAGAAATATTCCTGAAAAGAACACTTTATCACACACTACGCATTAGTCAGTAAGCTTATCTACCCAAATTTTAGTCAGATAGGACCTCAATGACTATATTAAATTCTCATAGAAGTAGGAAAAAGGGGAAAAAAGTCTCTCTCTCTCTCTCTCTGAAATTCCTCTTTCTTTTACTAAGAGTTCCAACACCAAACTTTAAAATATCGTTTCTTTAGAAATATGAATCTACTTTTTCCCTTGCAGAACTCCAAGAAGGCCAAAAAATGAAAGCACTGCATGCATCTTATCAGCCACTTTAGTAAACAAACCCCAAATTTTGCTAGATGGCCACCAAGGCAATGACTACATTTCTTTCTTTTTACATTCCTATCTTCATCTACCAAAACCAGTGCAATTATTTCCATTATTCTTCTCTTGTCAGGCACTTAACTTCAGGTATGCAGTAAAATACCAGAGACAAGAAATTTTACTAATTATTACAATGAAAACTTTACAAAAGCCCAAGTGAAAGAAAATCAGGAAAACTGCAGGACTTTGTTTGTTGATGCGGCTGCAGACAAGCTTTTGCTGATTCACAGGACTATTTAGTGAAACTAGAAATGAATGAATGTGATCAAGCATAACCCCAAATCAATAGCAACAAGCTTGGTTTATCATCAAGCAAAGCACTTCAAGAAGATGACACAATCGGTGAGTTGACGTAAAATTATTGTGTCCTGCTGAACTGTCCAGGAAATTCAAACTTCCAGTCAAACAAACTTGATAACTGGCAATAGTGTTTTGGGTATCAATTCCAGAGGAACAGCACTACCCTTTTTAGTGAAAAAGATAGTTGAAAAATTGCAGGGAAAGCTGCATCGATATTATGTCCACCGACCAATGTAACAATGAAATTAGAAAGAGAGAGTAAATAGCAAGTTAAAGCTTCTACAGAATTCTTTACCCACACTTATTGTAGTAGATACATCAGTGAGTGGTTTTTGTGTTAACTACGGAAAAGGTGTACAAGTATCATGCTTGAATAAAGAGCAACACGGATTTAGAGGCCTTGCAGCCCCAGAAGAGGAGGAGAAAATATCAAAAGCTAAGCATCAAATAAAGCTTTATGGAACTAGAAAGATTTGGAACTCAGAAAGATTTACAGCAGAATCAAATAAACCAGAATAAAGTTTCAACAGAGAAGACTGTGGGCACTTTCATTTGCTGAACCATATATAGTTGCAATTAACCAACCTACAGCAGGGCAAAGCAACTACAGTCCACTATAGTGGAAATATTTCATCTCTGTTTCTTAAGTAGGAAGATCACCAAGCCATCAACCGGTGTTTTCAAGATTACTGGTAGAAGAATAGAAACTTTGAAAAAGAAAAACACAGATTTTTGGACTTTAGGATCTTTTTCTTTTTCCTCCAATTCCTACCTCTTCCTCTTGTGAAAGGACAAGGAAAATAAGCCACCACAAGGCAGAGATATTGTAAATTATAACAGTATACAAGTATAACAGGGGACCCTCCAAGTCAACATCCTCATGATGACATGCACAGAGTCTCACTTTGCCATCAATTCAAAATTTAAGATATTTCTTACAACAAACCTGTTTATTCCCTCTCACTCCGAGATGCGGTGTAGCCAAGGTAATAAAATTGATAGGTTCAAGCCCAGCAATTAATCCTTTTGTAGAAGCAGAAAGATCATAGGGATGACCTGAGTTATTTGGCGTATAAAGGACAGAAATTGCATATCTTGCAAACAATCCACCAAGCGAATGGGCTAAGAATGATATCTTTTTCAGGGTTTCTTGTTTTCTAACAACCTGCATTACCTGTTCATAGTTGAATTATGGTGAAGACAATGCAATGCTACTTAAAGCTGATGCTCAAACGCTGCTGGAGAAACACAAAATATTAAGAAAGATTTCTGAACATATATATACCAGCAAAGACGAGATATTGCTCATAAATTAACTGGGAAGATGTCATTGATCAAATCAAAGTAACTAAGCATGTTAATCCAACTTGTAGTACTGTCTATAAAATGGAAACAACCTGCCTATATCTAGAAAGCACACACAAGTGCAAATGCATATTAACCACTTTCAAGTTCCAGCTAGCCTATAAGTTCAGACATGGCATTAACAGCAAAAACATTTGGCAACAAAGAAAAGAAAACTCACTTCATCTGCTAATCTCTTGCCAGCTCCATCAATCCCAGTGAATGTTTTGGTATAACTGTTACAAGAACTTGCTGCAAATTGGGGGAAAGGGAAAAGAAGAAGAAGAAAAAATTAATCTTGGGGCAAGAAATCAGCATGCACACATAGTTAATCGCAGAAACATAGAATACCCAATTAGAAATTAAATGGAGCACTCAGGAAAATCGATTCATTTAAGAAGAAAACATATTCTGCAGCAAACACCATTAAATGACTTGAATAATTATCCTTCACAGTCACCAAATTAGGTGCATCAGTTTGGACTCAACAACTTTGCCTTAAATATAGATGTAAAATTTTCAACATTTGCCTTCCGTTCTTTTTCACCACAGCAAGCAAGCAAGGATGCTTCATGTTATGAATTTCGCTAACTCGGTTCTCTCTCGATATCCTTAAATTTCAATAGTCCATTTGACTATTATTATATACAAAGGTCTGGCATCAATCTCAAGCATGCTGCTTACATGGTACCCATCACTTTTAAAACATTTATTTGAGCATAAAAGTTATAGAAGCAAGAGAGTCAAAGATCCAGAAGATAAAAAATGACACTGCTTTTAGTTATTATTGAATCCTGAGCTAGGAAAAAGAATTTCAAGTAAAGTTGCCACAGCCTGATCAATCAAACATATAGGTCAGGTAGGTATCTGCATAATACCAATAATTTCCGATCAGGGTGTGAGAGAGAGAGGTTCATAGATTGGTCTCCCTCAATTGCCATAATTTATTTCATTATATATGAACAGCTAGAATAACTAAAGGGTAGCAACAAAATCCAGAGCAGAGTAGATGGTAACAAATTCCAACTTTTCACCAACTCCTACACCATGCAAAATGCTTTTGGAGCTTGTGTGGTCGTGAAATTCATCGACTTTCATCCACCTAGGTTTTTCACATTTTTCTCTTGAATTGCACCAAGAATGATATGAATTTTGATTGTCAACAATGAGCCCACTTTTTCTAGGTTGCTATCACATTACTCCACCCTTCTTAGAATCTCTATATAAGGAAACAAGAAAAACATAATAGAAAATACAAGGGATAAGATGATGGTATATGCTCTTCTTTCCAAGAAAATATGGTAAATAATGGTGAACAAAGCCCAATTATCAAGTTCCCAGCCTGCTAGAAGAACAAAAGATAGTCTCTAGTTCTATTCACACAAAGTAATTGCTGTCATGGTCAAACCCAGAATCCTGTCAATACAAGTCAAACAAAAGATTGCTATTACTACATGTAACCACCTTCACTAAACTAAAAAATGAAATCCATAAGTTTCATAAATTTTATACATACACTATAAAGCATACCGTATATCAAAAAGTTTCTTCCCACCCGCTTCTTCAACTCTGCTTCTACATATGTCCAGTCACTAGGGCTGCACTAATCATAAAAATCAATCAAAGTTGCTTATATACCTGCAGCTTAAAAGTGCATTAAACTTGTCACTATTATGCGCAATTTGTCTTGGGCATACAAATGAAATGATCAATTCGCCTGAAGCATGCTAATAACAGACAAGCAAAAAACAAGCTTAATACATTCCTTCCTGTCTTAAGATTTGCAAAATAAACAGAAGGAATATATATCTATATGAGAAGCATATCATCTGCTGGTGACTGCTCCAAGAGGTTCAGAAAAAGCAAAGATGTTGTAGCAGCACCAAGATTCTAAAAGCGTGACAAGTTAAAAGCTACAAGTAATGGAAAAGACGCAGAATACCGAGTAGGTGCTAAGGATAACCATCACATGCACGAAATACCAATGGCTTTCTTCCACCAAGAAATACTAATAAAGCTATCCACAATGACTTCTGTATAAACATCATACATGCAGGACATGCAATGGTATAACCATCATAAGTTCTTTAATCATGAACCTCGGATGCTGCTGCATGCATCAGGAATTTTCTTATGCTCAGGATCCATGACACAAATGTGAAGTTAGAGCAATATATAATAGCATATACAGTTTAAAGATGCAAATTTACACTCCTCAAAAAAATAAAAATACTCTGCTACTTTTAATCATCTTTTCTTGTTCTTACCTTACATTTACCTGTAAATTTAACTCAATTATTAACATCCAAGTACAACTACGCTCCAGATTGTTATCAGACAACCAAATCAAATGTCAGTTTGAAGGCACTATTCCCCTATTTTTGACATGTAAAACTCAAGAAACACACATACCTTGCCAAGATCCCATGAACAAGGACAAGCAGATGATCTGGCTCATCTTTCAAATTATAAATGCCCTTTGGTGATGCAACATTACTCTGGGTTGAACTCATAGCGTGAGCTCTAAAGCCTTGATGTTTCCAGATCTTCTTTGTGCCTGAAAATTTATGCTACTCTCAAACTTATGGAAAGGTAACTCCAAGATTACTAAGAAGAAAATATTTCCACTATATGATGTTTGCATCACTTGTAAATTCAGGAATGGAAAATCTATAAAGTGTAAGCATCAAAAGCAGATCAAAGATGCACAAAGTCCTCAAATTTAAACCACAATGTGGTCCACACCAATTATCTAACACTGAATGGACAACATAAATATCAAAGGCGACAGGACAAATTCTTGAAATTCTGCATGCTTAGGAAAGACTGTAGTAATGGTTCAGCTCAGATGATTTCACTTATTTTCAAAGATAATACTAATGAAAGAAACTTACTCGAACTATCACTTTTCTAGAAAGTAACTTTTGTAAAATGGGTTCAATACTTTTCTGCATTGAATGTACATAACTGCTTCCATAAAAAGTTTCGAGCTCACTATCAAGTATCAACCGAGAGAGAGAGAGAAAGAGAGATTATTATGTGGCAAGGCAAGGCACAACCTCCCTGGAAGTAAGAGCCTACATACAATGCCTAAGAAGCCATAGTCCCAAGTCTTGTTCTTTATGCATATGCTTTTGGGATCAAATAAGAAAAAAATAAATTCAGACAAAATATAGTATTTTTGTGTTTAAGTTGTATGTGTAAAGAATGTGCACATATTATTACCACTGTCCTCTTTAATTATCTTAAACCCAAGAGTCTCTACAACTATGAACTCCAACCATCTTATTAACTAGCCTTTTAGTATTGCTCAAAATTACCTCCGTTGCAAAACACAACTTTTTTCACCAGATCAGATGCTTAACCTACTCTGCAAAGGTGCAAGTCCCTCAGATCTTTTCTTCAATAACCATGCCTAAGAACTGTATAATCACACATTTAGTGTAACAAACAGAAAATGCAATTTGTTTGTTAAAATTATGAATGCTTTAGCAAGCCATTTAACAGAAATGCTGCCGCGTAACTAGGCAAGTCAAATTACATAAAATTAAGCGCGAGACAATGATCCTTAAAAGTAGAACTGGTAATTGACACTTTATTAGGGCCATCCCTAAATTTGGAAGGATCCCATAGGCGTCAGATATTAACTTATGTATTAGCCAAATATATTTGTGTCTAATATTAGCAACCATCACAGGAAAGTGAGTGATTGACTGAGAAACGACATTGGGTTCTCATTTATCTTGGAAACATGTAACTTCTTCCACCAACATGTACATCATCTAGTACCAGCTAATTGTCAAAATTCAACTTTTCCCTCAACTTTAGAGTCATAAAAGAGATTAAGTAGTCACATTTAATTGTCAAATTCGGAGAAATGTTTTAACAAGCTTTAATACAAAAACTCTGCATGCCGACAAACCAAGCCTCCATGCATACGTTTCCCCACAAACGATAAAATCCAAATGCTTATGTGACCAAAGTCATTTAGGGGTGTCAGACGCTACATAATCAGATTTTCAGCACCTTAATGAATTATTAAACCATTGCCATAAGATGAAACTCAAGAGTCAAAGTATCATATATTACTAATCATACAAAAGCAAAAACAAAGCACATATTCCCTGATATTCGATAAACTACTTGGTCTTATTCCTAGTATAGACAAGTGTCAAAGCACATATTCCCTGATATTCGATAAATTACTTGGTCTTATTCCTAGTATAGACAAGTGTGCCGACACGCAGACACTTCCCAAGCTACAACCTGAAGATACTTTCTAGCTGCTTTCCAACACTGTAAACAAACGGTAGCGTGCAATTACAAGTGCTACACTGTAATAATGGCAACAAAATTCTCATTCTTTCTGTCAATTAAAATTCAATCAAATTGTTACACATGGCTGAATATCTCCCAAATAATAGATCTGAAGATTCTGTGTCTGAATCTAATCTACGTCTACAAACAGCACGCAAACTTAGTCCAAACACACCTTAATTCTCATGTATTCATTCTTTCTCGATCTACAATTTAGGCAAGACTCTTCATTTCTAACAACACATAATTCACCAAACAAAACAAACCAAAAGACAATAAGATCTGAGCTATCCTTCGCATGAAATGAAAGGTATCATGAACTAAACCAAAAAATTCCAACTTCCGCACTAATTTCCGTCGGAAAAAAAACCATAAAAATAGATAGAATGACGAGCTTCAAAAAACAAATAGTTATAAATATCAAATTGTGAACATGAACGAGAGCAAAAAAAGAACAAATACTAAAGCAGAAACTTCTTTCTATATCATTTACCGGAAAAAGCGATGAAATCCGAATTACTCTGTTGCCGATTATCCGCCGACGACGACGAAGAAGAAGAGCAGGAACAATACGGCGAAGAAGAACAGGAATTACTAATATTATTCTGATTATGATTATTATTATTACTACTATTATTGCTACTATTTTTACCGGTATAATTAGTATTGATAAAATTGGAATTGGAGCTTGGGAGGCTAAGCATCCGAGGGGAATGGTGAATCAAAGGCGCCGGATAAGCCATGGGTAAATATACACGATTTACTATTTATACTTTATAGTAATAAATAATTGACAATTATACTTTGGAGAGGTGGACACGGAATTGACAAATGCTGGTTGCTAGGAAGGCATGGGTGGAGTGTCCAATTTGCTAATACGGCACGGTGTCGTTTCGTTAGGTATCGGAATGGGCGATGGAAATGGGAATTATTTTCTCTTGTCAGCCAGCTGCCTCGTTTTTCGTGTGGACTTAGATTTTGTCATATGCTGTCCCGTGGTAAGGGGATTAAGAATCCCTGTCCTTGGGAATCGCAATAGGGTCGGGCTAGAATTAGTTGATGAAGTCACTCTTGTATGGATTTTAAATCTCTTGTTTTTTGGTTGGGCAGTTGAAAAGTTTATTTTTTAGATATGAAGGTGAGAGTTTGGCGAATAAAGGGCCAGGACTCCAATAAAGTTGATGGTTATGATTTAGTCAAAAAAAAAAAAAGTATAATTCAATTAATTTACCTTACTTTTAACCCACTATGTATAAGGTCCATAAAAATTTATTAGATAAAATATCAAAAACTCTCTGTGATTTGTGAAATGTTCAATTTAATTCTATCTAGTTTGAACATTACAAAAATTAATTTTTGCGATTCATTAGTCTCAAAAAAAGTTGGATCTCTAAAAGACAAAATTTGGGATGGTTCAGAATTAGCCAATTAGGCCTAGTTTGTGAGTTTATGAGAGGAAGAAAAGACGGGAAGTGAAATGGTTTCTTTCTATGTTGTTTGGGAAGTAAAGGGGATTCCAATCTTTTAAAATGCAAGGAAAAGAGTTTTCACAACTGTATCCATTGAAGTTTTTGACCCCACGTCCCTAGCTTTTTAGTTCAGTAGCATTGAACTTACGGTTTCTTTACGTGTTTTGTAGCCTATACTTTCAAATGCTGCGGTTCGTTGGACAAGAACAAATTTTACAATAGTATATTTCTTTAAAAAAATGCATGTAGATCATAATAGTGATCTTATTTGTGCAAAATCTTGAGACAGCACTAAGAATTAGTTCTCTACAATCACAAAAGAAAATGCTTCGACTAAATCTTTGGCTTGGTTAGAAATAAAAATCAAAGCAAGTTAACAAGTACGGACCTACTTTTGAACACTTAAGAAACTTGAATTGAATTCCAGAAAATATAAATGGTAAGTTTAGGCTAGAGACTAGACTTTTGAATGGCTGAAGAAATAAATTTTTGGAATTTGATGTATTTTTGTTAAGTAAAAATGAGATTTATTAGCCACCTAAATAGTCGGTGTCAAAAAATAGTAAAAAGTAACGGCTTTTAAAAGTGGACGGTTTCTCTCAAAATTTATTCCCATAAAATACAAAAGGAATTTTATTTATTCTTGCCGAATAAAAATGAAGTTTACACCTCCTTGAATAGTATTTAATCTGTGATTTTTTTTGTTTAATTGTATAGAAATTATATTCGTAACTTCTTCTGCCTATCTTTGTGGGAGGACATTACTTTCACCAAAAATTTTTAAAAAAAAATTGTGAGAGAGTATTATATTATTGCATGTATCACAGCAACCATATTGACCAAAAAAAATTCCATTTCGAAAAATTATAAAAGGGATTTAGCTAGTAAATTACTTAAGAAAACAATAATTTTTCTTAAAAGAAAAAGTACTAAATGTCTAACTTTCTGCCAATGTACTTGTTAAAATTGTGAAGTGACACAGGAATCTCTCCAAGCCACAGAACGAATGTCGGAACAAACTAAGAAGTTTGAGTTGAGGCGTTCCCTAATAAGTACTATCCGAAAAACCCTTTTCCTCAGGCCTTTTCTTCATCAAGAAGTGTCTCTCCTCTTTCCATCTCCTAGCAACAAAAAACTAGAAAGCCTCTCCATCTTCTCTCTGGCTTTGGCAAAGCCAGCTCTTCTATGCAATATATTGTTCGCAATATATAGAAAGAAGGGCAAGAATTTCAATTCATAAATTCAAGGAGAGAAAATGGGAGGTTGTACAAGCAAGCCAAAAGTGTTGAAGGATGATGGGGTTGAGGCACCTGAGCCAGCACCTGAGAAGGTGAGTGTGGAGGAGAAGGGGACTCTCGCCGCCGAGCTGGCACCTCAACAGGAACCCGAAAAGGCGGTGGAAGAGGACAAGGAGGTTGTGGCTGAGGCTCCTGAACCGGTGGCATCCGAAAAGGTGGAAAAGGAGGAGGAGGAGGCTCTCAATGCGGTGGTTGATGGAGTTGAAAATAAGGTACTCAACATCACAATTAAAACAAAACTTTGATATACGTACAAATGCATGACACTCGGTGTCGTGGCATTCATTTAAATCTGTTAGTGTAAATAAATATTTAAATTTATGATGTATCAAAATTAATCTCGTTAAGTTATGTTATCACGTTTCTATTATTAAGAATTGGCATACACTTTCATATACGATATATAAACACATTGAATTGCTTGTCAACGAGTAAACATGTCGAACATGGTTGATTTCTTAAGAATTTGCCCACCCTATATATATAGAAACTCTTTTATTTGGGAGTTATAACTAATAAGAAGCTATATTTGCAATGTTTACTTATCGATATTTTTCAAAATAATTATAGGCAATGCCCCCATGGTTGCGTAGTCATTTCTCATGTTCGCGTTAATGCATTTAATTTTTCACGAAATTTTTTTTAAGGTTTTTGATGGGGATTTAAAATGCAGATCTAGATTCTCTATGATTGTAGGTGCAATAATAAAAAACTTTTAAAGGATTTAACGGTCAAGATCAACTCATTTCAGTTGGGACGGTTGATCTCGATCATTGATTTAAAATTCAAATCAACCCCTAAATACTTTCTATAGTTGCACCTGCAACCTTAGAGAATCCGCAATCCTTAAAATGCCAATATTTGGGGATGGCATCCCCCGTTGCTCCCCAATTTGTTGCATATGCATGAATGCAGCCATAAACACAGACATGATCTTTTGCTATTTTCCTTCTTTTTTTTTAAGCTACTAATTTCGGAGAAACTACAAATTAAAAGAATTTTACGTTCATATTGTATTGCAGAATGGAGAAGTAAAAGATTCCGAAGATCAAAAGGTAAAATCTGAAGAAGAGGTAAACTCCAAAGAAGATGACAAGGTAGAATCTGGAGAAGTAAACTCTAAAGAAGATGAAAAGGTAAAATCTGTAGAAGAAGAAAACTCTACGGAAGATGAAAAGGTGAAAGCTGAAGTGGAAGAAACTGCTGGTCCTGAAAAGCTTGAAAAAGAAGAGGTAAAACCAGCAACGGAGGCCGAATGCCATGAAAGATTGGACAAAAAAGTAGAAGAGAAAACTGAAACTTCGGAAGAGAAGAAAAAAGAAGCAGCAAAACCAGAGGCTGACAATGTTCCAATAATATCATTCTTCACATCATTTATGGGTCAGAAACACTAATAATTCGTAACGCTTTTCCAATCTATAAAAGGAGTGCATACAAATTAAAGGGTCATATGTCATGTTTCCACTTGCTGCTTCTAGTATGCCAAATGAAAGCGTGAACATTGTTGTGCGGTATATATATCACGCTTTCATTGTTACCTTTAACCTTAACGATGAAATTTTGTACTCATTACTCATTAGTATTAGAGCATGATCCCCAATTCTTAAATTCTTCAAGGTATGAATTGTGTCATAATACACAAATTACGTTTTTGACTAGATCCAATGTAGATGGCAAGTGATGTGAAATATGTCGCATTCTATTCCTTCATATTATGATTTTAATTAACTAGGTTGTTTACTTTCTTGACACATTTATTCAATAGAACCAAAAAAAAAAAACCAGGAATCAAGAGCTACTAAGGGCTAGGGGCTCATGAATTTTTGAAGGCGTGAAAGAACCATTGCCCTTCACATATTTGCCTTAACGATTTTGGATTTCTAAATGTGAGATCTAGTGGCTTATTCTATTGTATATTATCCTTCCAAAAGTGGTTCTTGCAGGACCATGATCCGCCTGTTACGCAAGAATGACTGCTCCTAATACTTTGGAAAGTAAAGGTGTGCATTTAAGAAGGAACCCTTATATGTTGGAAAATTTTTGGGGGCAAGCCCTAAGATTTACATAGAGAATTTTTAAAGTTTTTAAAGGGATGTTAAAGGACTCGTAAAATTTTGGGGAAACAAAATCTAATATTTATTAAGATATAAGTAAAATTTTTTATTATTTTAAATGGTTATAAAAAGATTTTTGAAAGCTTGGGAGTTCTCCCCGTATTTGGGTCAAGCAACCGTTCCAGAAGGTTAATGACAAAAAAAAAAAATGTAAGATCCAAATTTCATCTTGTACATCGTTTTTCACACCATGTGTGGGGCCCACAAAATATTGTTCTATAATTAGACGTTATGCAAAGTGAGTTATATCGTGTATAAATTAAGTTACATCTTATACAAAATGTACAAAATCAGTTCGGATAATTTTCTGTTGACTATTCCTGCCCCATATCCGCTCTCCCCGCTCCCACTAGATCTGCCATTGATTCCTAGGAGCCTGTAGGGGTTTTTTTTCCAAAAAAAAAAAAGAGAGGATATTTTCGAATATTATTAGCCAGTTCCCTGGGCGTTAGATTACAGACGGTACAACAGATCAAGCCTTCCAAAGCACCATTCTCACACCTCTGAAGACGTGGAGTCTAGCGAGATAAGGTATCACGCCTTCGTCGGATGCCCAATTATAAACCATAAATTGGAATTGGCGTACCTCTTTTCGTTTGCTGCTTTAGTAGCTATATTTCATTAACTTTTGTAAATGTTAGTTTAATATCATCATTGGTTTGGAATAATTCATGCAGACAAGCTTATCGTTTAACATGAGTATAACAATTGTAATTGAAGACCAAGAACAAATGATTAGTCGCCAGAATAGCAAATTGATAATGTCATTATTTACTTAAGTATCCCGTTTAACATGGTTCAAGTAATGCAATAAACATTGAGAAAGAAAGAAAAAAAAAAAGAAATGAAGTAATGTCACTGACAAACATATGAAACC